CCAAAAGCCAAAACAAGATTGAGTTGATTTTTAACGATTCCCTGTCCATGCGTAAAACAAAAGTACGGCATATAACATTGGACCGTTTTTTTTTCTGCCAACCTACTATACATAATACCCCAGTCATACACATGGTTTTCTCATGATGAGGCACAATTTTTACTTGGTTTTTTGTTAGTCTTTGTATAATTATGTAACATCAATTTCTGTCCACTCCATGGTCCCATTGAAAATGCATTTGTAACGATTTGTATACCCGGTAAAATAACGAATAAATATATGTAACCAGATTCTAGAATTAAAGAAGAACGAAAAAAATTAAGAAGACGTTAATAACACACAGCCCGGATACAACATTTGTTTGCAGAAAAGTAACTATGAGCTTCAAAGTCTTCATTCTAATTCAAACATCTAGAAGGAGCGGCAGTGAAAAATGCAAAGTCGCATGGACACTTTGAATACTACAGTTTGCATGTTTGAATACTCTCTACACAGACCTGAACGTACACCACAAGTTATATAGGCAAGTAATGCTCAGCTACTTACATCTTTAACTGGCCATCCTAAGGAAGATAGCCTCTTCACAGCGTTAACTACCCCACTCAAGAGGCCCACTTAAGAAAGCGAAGAAGACATAGACCTACCTGAAGTGACTGTAAGGATGTATGATCCAAACACCCGATTCCAGCAGTCTCTCTCTTTCCTTCTCTAGCGCTTTCTTGCTCCCAAAAAGTTTCAATGAAAGTCTAGTGTCTGCTGGATAGAACAGTGACAGAAACCTCTTCCTGATTCTGTATCCCAGGGACCGAGGAATGTCAGGCTTCCCCATACTCGTGCGGGAGATCTTTGCGTTCTGCCGCGTTCGGAACGGCGTGACCATGGGTGTAGCAGGAGCCGATTTCGTCTCTTGTTGCATCTTTGCCATGGAGCCGTTGATGAGGTTCTCCTGTTTCATCTCCTGCTTAGTCGGTACCTTGAGTTTTGACGGCCGTTTCGGGTCCTTGCGCGGTTTGTCTCCGAGAGGCTCGGCGCGCTTGTCCGGCAGGTGCACCACAGGTTGCTCTCCGGGTGCCTCCACTTGCATGGGCTCCCTGGGGCTCTGAGGGGTGCCGCTGTCAATAACTACCTTGATTTCTACAGGTTCGGCGAGGGTGTTGTCGTTCTTCTTCATCCTCCCGCCGCCGCCGATAGGGACCGGAGTCAGCTCCGTGGCGCGCCTGGAGACAACACAAGAGACCTGTCAGTACATTACCTGGGGAAATGGTGCAACCTTTGGAAGATAGATGGCTGGGCAGCAGCCCCGATTGTCTTTCAGCAGCTAGAGTGCAGAGTGCAGAGCTAGAATCGAACCGTACGCTGTAGCGATGCTGCCACGATATTTTCTTTTCTTTTTGTCCAGAATTTGAAACGCTCCAGTTCATAAAAATGTTTGCACGATTGTGTTTTTCAAAGCTCAGTAACAAAATATTCCCGCAGAGGGTGACTCAGGTATGGTCGCAGATAAGACCTTAGAAGCTGAATACACCAGGACCGAGAAACGCGAGAAAATATTTGAGAAAATTAAATGATATCTGAAGTACGGATACACCACACGCTACCGTGGATGCCTTTACTCAAAACTCTTTACATGAACATATCTCATTTAGCGTACCATAATTTCGGCTCCATCTTTTTGAGAATAAAACATATCAACATATCAAAGCCCACTGCCGTCACTGTCTACCTGCATCAGTGTTACATACCAGTCTAGATCTTCACAGATTTCGCACACCGTCGGTAATTTGGAGTCGGTCCCCATATCGTCAACCTTCTTCATCATGAGAAGAGGAAGAACGAAGAAAATCCCAGTCCTCCTGCCACACACCACGCACACCACCGACACAACAACATGCTGTCAGCCGCTAGAGATCTGCTAACATCTCTGAGAAGCGATCTGTCAGATCGCCGGGATGCCCAGCGGAGGACTGAGGCTCCTCCAATAAGAGCCGGACGCTACTAACCTCCTGGGTGAACATGGCGCCGGCGCATTAAAACCGGCAGCCCTCCCAGAATACTGATGCTAACATTTATAACACACCACTCATATATCGATTGTTTTTCATCCGTAACCTATGACGCTGTGGCATCACACATCTCCACATATATAAAGTGATAGCCGCTAAACTAGCCCGAATCGATGGAAACTACACAGTCATCATAGTTCAATTTTTATTCCCATGACTCTGCCGTAGCTGGGCTGATTCCTCATTACTGGTAATGGATACCGATGGCGGTATCATCATGACACATGAAATCATGTTTACAGTTACTGAAATGATGCAGCCACCTCTTAGGCAGATTATGTCACAAGTTATCCAGATTTTAATTGTAACTTGTGTCCTCCCTACTTGAGACTTCCCAGAGCTCTCTTTTCTTTGTTATCAAGTTTTGTGTACAATTCTTTACGTCTCGACAATACAATCTTTGCTATACGTCAGCGGCGGATAGTAGAAAAATAGGCGTCTATTAAACAACGTTGACGCCGCCTGGCAGACCACAAAGACGATGTATTATATTTCGTTTGAATGAAGAATCTACTCGCAATAAGCTACTGCTGTAGCCCATTCATCAGATCCCCGGGCTAGCTAGCGGCGCGCGACAGGGAATAAGTAGTGCTATCAGAGGTACCTAGTCTTCAGGCAGGTGTTGATAAGGATCCTTACTGCGCGACTGGCTCTTTTTTCATACATTTCTATTCTTTTTATAGGCATATAAAAAGAAAAATGGGCAATAGAAACGAGACAATTTCGCTCCTAAGACTCTCTAATAGACTGTAGCAATACTCAGTATGTTACGCTCTTATTCACGAAATGAATGTTGGTACAGTGCAAAGTATCAAATATTGAAAAAGATATCAAAAGCGCCATCATAGCTTGCCATTTCGGCCGTGTTATGACGCTCCCATCTGTTTTACGGTTCTTCCGTTGTAGCCATTGCTGGGGCAGTGACCCTGTTTTTCGGTTTCATATTAAAAGATGAGTCTTAGTTAGGAGACATCTCTCGCCAGGGTGGCTGTATCGATTTTTCCATTTCTCCGACCTGTGGCTCATGTCTTTCTTCACGGCTCGCGATGGCCCGCAGCTATCTCCCCGGCGTCTCGTTACATCACAATCGGAAGAGAAAGCGTCGTAACAAGACGATCCGCGGCGCTCGCGCTTGTCTATCAACATTTACGGAACCGAAATTCCTCTAAATCAACGGTGTGACATCCCAGGTTTTCGTTGTAACGGAGCGGGGCCGCAAGAGGGTTATCCTGTATGGGCTATTAAATCCTCGACGTGTTACTTGATCATTTTGAGACCCCTGGTATATTTTCGTTGTTCGAGTGTACGGCAATAAAGTTGGAGCTTAAAATCACGTTCACCTCTTTATGGTGACTCAGAATAAGGTTATCTCACTCAGATGCCAAGTCACACACCACAGTCAAACCTTATAACGAGCCACCAAGTCATAAAAAGATGATAAAATATTAAAGAAACATGCAATCCTACACAAGTTAGTGTGTTAACACTTAATTATTGGCCCAGACGGTCGCCTGATAGCAAAGATAGGGTTTCTCAATGAAATTTGGCGATGCCGAAAGCACTTGGACTTTTGGCAACCTTGTCAGTCATGATATACTACATTAGCGCTACCTATAGGGAATTATATATTGTAGCGTTCTGCTAAATGGGTGGTCGCACAACTGAGCATTGGACCACGTCGTCGGAAGAGGGCACTTTGGTACATAGAATGTAATGGTGTGTGGTCTACCTTGGTGAAGTTCCCAATTTTCAACGCCTCGTAAACTGCCTAATACAACTAAGAAATGCAGCCCATTACTACTATTACAAACATGGGTCTCATACTTTGTACCATAGTTCACTGAATGGGACAATATAACTGAGCTCCATGAAATTTTAAGACAAATCTGATTTGTTAACTTACCTGTATGCGTACTGATATGGAATTCACTACTGCGGTGATCAGATTAAAATCCAATAGATAGAACGTACTTAATCTTCCACAGCTAAGTATGACTGTTGAGCTCTATGCGGAAAGCCCCAAATTACCATATTGAATATAGAGGGCTTACGTACGGATTATGATATTAGCGAATGTCTAGTAGTAATGACAACTGTCGCACTGTGATATTTCAGTGTTGAATATGTTTTATTTCTACGTACTATTTTTTGGCACAGATTATTCAACA